CTACATCCTCAGTCTCTTTTTATTCTTTAAGACAGGGCATTGCCAAGTTGCTAAGTTGCCCAGGGCTGGGCTTGCATGTATGTTGTTCCTTCCTCAGGCTCCCAGAGTGCTGGGATTACACATGTATGTCATCATGCCCTTCTGGAAAGCTTCCTTATGGTGCTGCTGCTGGTATATTGTTTGGTATGAAAGGAGAAGGATGTGATGTTCAACACTGAAAAAAAACTTGTTATTTAGTGATGCTTTTTGTATCTGTAATCTACAGCTAGCTACAAGACACTCCAAAACGAAAGGGTTCAAAATAAATCCCTGTTATGTGTTCATGATTCTGGAGTCACTATCTTTAGTGGTTGAGGCTGTCACACCTGAGGTCTGCCTTGTCACTGCTGTCATCCACAGGCTGAGCTGGGTGTTCTAAGAGGCGCACCTCCCATATCCAGTTGCACATGGATACTGCTGGCCCGGCCCCGCTACGTGGTTCTCATCTTGAGAGTCTGGCTAGAGCCTTTCTTGGGCAAACTCAGGTCACAAGGGAAGGAGAGCAAAACTGCCTGGTCTTCTGTGTCTCACAACTTGAAGATCCCACCATGTCCTGTCTGCTGCATTGTACTGATCAAGTAAGACCCAAGTCTAGCAGGGATGGAGGAGTATGGACAGATTGGACCTTGGAATGAGAGATGTGGGCCATTACAGCCCAAGGGGACAAAGCCTCCTGGGGAGAGGAGAAGTTTGGATGTATCTTTGTAAATAATTTATCACATGTGTAAGGCTGGGGAGGCAATGAGGGTGTTGCGGGCTGGAGAGTAGCAAGGTGCATGTTGGCTAGTCCTGCAGCTTATCAGCCAGATTTGCAGAAGGAACCTGAACATCCCCTTTGTAAGGGAGGAAAAGGATCATCTTAACATCTCAACAGAGAGCTGTCACCATATGGGGACATGTACTAGCACCTGTGTCACTACAGAGAGGTGTAAGGAGTTTAAAGAATTTTCAGACCTCCCAGTAATGCTTATCTATAACATTTTTTTTTTTTTTTAAATTTTAGAGGGTCTACAGGGTGTTCAGGGTTTCACTACTAGATCAGACTCATAGTGATTCTCCTGTTTACAGCCTCCTAAGTGCTGGGATTACAGGTGTGCGCCACCAGACCCAGTCTCAATGGCCATCTCAGAGCGCCCCGGGGGTGGAGCGAGCACGGCAGGTGCGGGGATTGAACCCCCGGCCCCTGTGCCTGCATGCAGGTGCTTTAATCCACTGAGCTATTTGGCCAGCCCTTATGCTTATCTACAACTGTTTTGATAATTTTTATTTTTTTTATTTTTTTTGATAATTTTTAAATAAGGATAAGGATACTACAACAGGGCTTTCTAGTATTCACTTTGCTAAATATACAACCATAATACATTTTTCTGACCACCGCTTAAGTTAGAATTGTGAGCGTTAGTATGACCTTGTCACTTTTATTGGAACATCCTAAATCAAATCAGTGAAACCTCCAAATACTCCAAATGGAAATGATTTTATTAGAAAACAGCAAGTCTACTTTGCAAAAATTTTATTATTTTAGTGATTAAAATGAAGAGAAACATAACAAGAACAAAATTATGCTCTCTACTACATGTATTACATACACTCCGAGCACATTACATAGATGGACTCCTTCACTGAGTTCAATAATCCTAAGTATTAGGTAACACAACCCACCTTTTACAGATGGAAACTCTAAAACTGACCAAGACTTGCTACAGTTCTCACTTAGTTAACTGGTTAGAAGGCCAGGATTCAACCTAGCTTCTTTCCAGTATTTATAGAGATTAATATATATTGTATATATTAAAGTCATGCCTACTTTAAAAAGCATAGTTGCAGTCCAGGCGTGGTGCTGTTCACCTATAATCCCAGCCCTGGGGAGGCTGAAAAATCTATGTAGGAGGATCACTATGGAATGAGACCCTATACCAAATACATTAAAAAAAGATAAAATAAATAAAAATAAGGACTGGCCAGATAGCTCAGCAGATTTAAGGGCCTGCTTAGATAGAGTGGGGCCCGGGGTTCGATTCCCAGTGTGCCTTGCAGTTCTACTTTCCCCCCACTCACCCACGCCCATGGGCTGAGACCTCGATTGAGACCGGGTGTGGCAGCTCATGCCTGTAATCCCAGCGCTTGCGAGGCTGAAAACAAAAGGATCACTAGGAGTCTGATCTGTGTAGTGAGACCCTGTAGACCCTGTACTAAATACATAAAAATAAATACATAAACAAAAAGCGTATTGTATCATAAGCACTTTTTAGGTAGCAGAATAGCATTTTAATATTTCTTTGGTGTGTTGGATCACAGTTCAACTCACTATGATTTTGAGTTAGAGATCTAGATTGCGTGTTAGGGCTCAGAACCCTGAATTAGATTAAGCTTGGCTAAGTAACATTTCTAGAGCCGACTGTAATTATTCTTTAAATGTGGTGTTTATTACTCATCCGGACCTTGCCATTCCTTTTTCTTTTGTCATGTTCCTTGAAATGGTGTTTATTAACAAGATGGGACCTGCGTAGATAATTATAAGACAGTAAGAACATGGAATTAGACACGTAGCCCTCTGCCTAAAGCTTCCACTCAGAGCACCCAAAAACCTCCTGTGTGTTTCAGCAGTGGATCCTTGCACAGCACTGACCTGCTCACCTTGCCCATCTTGTTCCAGTCACCAGAAAGGAGGAGCCGGCGTCCCGGAGCGGGCGCAGGCAGGCGTCCAGATGCACGTCCCGCCGCTAGCCAGCAGGTGTCTCTATTTCATTCACCCTCCTTGGCAGGCGCCTCCTGAATGGGAAAACTCGGAGCAGAGCCCGGGAGTGGGAAGTGGTCCCTCTGATCCCCTCCCACGAGCTGCCATCCTTTCGCCTCCCTTCCTCGCTCCTAGAAGGCCGATTGGTGGCATCAAGGAAGGTGGGACGGGGACGTCACGTGAGTTGAAGCACATTCTTAACTTCATTGAATCTGTTTGCAAAGCAAGACCTGTCACTCCCCACCTCCCCAGAGCAGAAGCCTTTTCTCTTTAAATAGCACCACACTCCCGCCTAAAAGCTATGCTACTGAGTCATAACAATTAATTACATTCAGAGGTGAGAAGACAGGATTTAACGCTCTAACGCGATTTGAATTTAGGCTCTTATCTCATCCCGCTGCTATTTAAAACAAAGTCACTTTTCCAAGGAAGCATCACACCAAGGATGGTTTCAAAGCTTCGGTCTAAAGACATCCCTGGCAGCTGAATCTCCTCGTTTTAGCTTCCGCAGGGGTTTAATATGTACATTTGGCTTTTCTAGATTTCTGTAATGAAGTGCATCTCTTTCAGTTTGGGCATTGGATATACAAGGAGCAGGAGCAGAGGATTTGGAAGCTCCGTGGGTTTCATTAGGATTTTTCTAGGCGAGGGGGAGGAGTTGTTAGAAAAAGCGAGTGCCGAGAACAGCTTTTTATTTTTTTATTTTTATTTTGTTAGTACAAGGCCTACAGAGTCTCACTACATAGAACAGACTGGTAGTGATCCTCCTGTTTTTCAGCCTCCCAAGCGCTGGGATTACAGGGTGGCGCCACCACGCCCAGTCTCAGTCGTGGCCTCAGTGTGCCCCTGAGGCGGGGTGGCATGGCAGGCCAGCGGAGAAGGTATTTCATCGGCCTGGAGCGAGGCTCAGCGCTAGGAGTTTGGACTGAGAGACATGGAAGGATCTGGTGGGCATCTGAGGAGATGCATCAGAGGTTGCTTGGTGGCTTTGCTTGAGGGGCCAAGGGACAGTGAGGGTCTTGGGTTTGCCTGTAGGCGGCAGGATGGAGTGACTGCGCTGTCCAAAGAAGTCTGTGTTTGGATCCCCGGATGTGGGCAGCTGCTGAGCTTCTCTGTGTGGGGCTCTGTGAGCCTTGCATGGAGAGGATCCTGCTGCCCTACGGATCTGGCTTGTCAGGGGCAGGGGGCTGTGCTGCCCTGCCGCCCTCTCTACTCGGCCCGTCTCAGAAGTGTCAGCACTCTATGCTAGGCATCGACCCTGGGACTCAGCGTGGCCCATAGGCTGTTGCTCCCTGGCTGAGACTGTGTGCAGAGCAGTTAGGGCCACAGGGCAAGAATTCCTGCCCTGAAGGCACCCAGGTGTCTGCCTTCCAGCCTCTCACCTGCCCTGAGACCCTGCAGCCTAGCTGTTTCCTTCGCGCGGTGGGATATGAACCCTTTTTTTGCCAATCTGTCCAGCGACCGGGAGAGCCAGACCTTCACTTCCTGTGCTTGGACCGGCCAGCACCTCCCGAAGCTTGCGGTCCTAGGATCCCGGCGTGACTTTTTTGGGTGTCCTGCAGGGCTCGCGGGTCTCAGGGCACATCTTGGGTCCTGTCCTGTCTGTCCGCCTTACCCAGGCAGACTCGCCCTCCCCAAGGGCTCTCGCTTCTCTCCAGGCACTTGCCAGGGCCTCAGAGGATGCTCCCTTCTTTCAGGCTTCACAGTTTGGTCCCACTTTATTTTCTTCCCAGCATTTGTCACCACTGCCTAGAGCACTGGCACTTTCAGGTGTTGTCTCTGTTCCCAAGACCTCAACCTCAAGGTGAACTCAGGAGAGAAAAAGCAGGCATTGCTTTCTTTGCACCGCTGTGTGCTCAGAGCCTGTACAGGGGCTAAGGAATTAATAGGTGCTCAGTTAATTCCGGTGGGAAGGAGAAGAAGCCCTTCCCTAGCACGGAGCCCGACTAGTCCCAGGCGCTTGGGAGATCCCAGGCAAGGCAGCTCAGAACCCAGGGTGCCTGATTCCTCACTAAGCCACCTCCCGGCCACAGTCCCCAGGCCCGTTCTCTCTCGCCTGTCACCCCTCTGTCAGAGTCCAACCCCTCTTGGGGGTGCTGCCAGGGATCCCGCCTCTGTGCCCGCCTCCAACCAGGATTTGGGGCCCGCGGTCTACGCCCCCACCCCTCGGCCGGGGAGCCGCCCTGGGCATGCTCAGAGTGCGCAGGTCCGGGCGGTGGCGCGGGGTGGGGGGCGGAGAAGGGAACAGCCCCGCCGCCGTGCGCTCGCTGGGCCGGGCGGAGCTGCGCAATCCTCGCAGCTGCGCCAGGACAGCGGCGCGGCCAGCCCACAAGTTGCCGGTGGCAGAGCGCCGCGCCGCGCCGCCTCCTCCAGCTCGCAGCCCTCCGCGCCCACCCGGTGGCGGCCGGCACCAGGACCCGCGACCCGCGGACCCTGTCCCCAGATGTGAAAGTGGGATACGCAGCTCCTCTCCCCTCGGCGCGATCCAGAGTCTCGCCAGTGTCTCCGCCGCCAGACTCCACGGCTGGAAGATGTGGCAGCCGGCCACGGAGCGCCTGCAGGTAAGGGGCACCCTGGAGGCTGGGAGGCAGCCTGGAGGAGGAGGTACCCAGCTGACTGGGGGAGCCCGAGTGGCGGGGCCTGTGCCCACTTGCCAGGGTTTGCCCAGCAGGATTCTGCAAGATGCATGCATGGGAAACCCGTGCTGTCACTCAGCTCGGATCTGGGCACCAAGCAGGGGACCGGGATGATGAAATGAAAGGACGCTCTGCTTCAGGGCGTTACAACTTTTGGCCCCGAGGTATTTCTGTGTCTGCTGGTATAAATCATGTGAGACTTTCAGAGCTGCAATTTCAGATTGCATTCCACTGACAAATTTACTGGTCTGGGGCTAAGATTTTTGAATCCAGACATCCCCACCCCCTCCCTTCTGTCTCTAGGAAAGAAAGAACAAATGATTTGTGAAAGCATCCATTTGCCAATATGATTTGGATATGTCAGGCTTGGTTTGGCTTGGTCATGGTATGCTACTTCTTTTATTTTTCCGATTCTCATTGGCTCTTCATCTGCTTGCATTCGGGCTCTTCAGGGTGCTCCAAAGTCAGAAGTTAAGTTTTGCCAGGAATGGCTGCATACTGGACAGCTTATGGAAAGTTTCACACTGCTGTCTCCCGAGTGCCTTGGGTTTGGATTCTAAAGCTGAGGAGTGGGTGAACAGGAAGATTTCTCCAGTGACTCTTGGGCCATGGGACCACCATAGCTGCAAGTCTTGATGACTGCCTTCTGGTCCCACACATCATCCGGAGAGATAGTACCTACTCTCAAGGGAATCCTGCAATTAAACTTTTGGCAGGCTCAGAGTCACGTTGATTCATAGTAAACTTGGAGGAAGTGCTTAAGAGGTAAAATAGAGCACCGCTGGAGGCTGCACATGTCTGTGAACTTACAGCAGCAAGGCCAGGAGCCCTGGCTGGCTTGGGAGGTTTTTCAGTGAACATTCCAAGACCCAAACACAGACAGTCCCTGGGTGCTAGGCAAAGCCTACTATGCCTACCAGTCCTTTCTGAGAACAGACCTGCAGGGGGCGTTACATTTAGTCTGAGCAGATAGCCTTAGGCTCCTTTGCAAGGATTCCCTGGACCAGGCTTTGGGGGGAGCATGTTCTCTTTAACAGAGCCTGACATCCCAGGCCTTTTCCTCGGAGGCCTCAAACACTATAAACACGAAAACCAGCCTGGAGCTCCGGAGCAGAGAAGTGAGTGAATGGCCTTCTGACGATGGGGACCAGGCGGTGTGGATGTATTTTGGCAGTGGTACCAGATACCTGTGGTGCCCTTCAGTTCTTCCTGCAGTGCAAAGCATGCAGCTGATTCCAAGGCAGCGGACTGATTGAGTGGAAGTGGTGATTCCCCACACAAGCTCAGAAAGCAGCTATTGAAGCAGAGAGGTCCTTACAGAGAAGGGATCACAGTCCCCTGAGAAGGTCTTGGGGCCTGGGGGCTGTGCCTAGGGAGAGTTTGTTGCTGGTCTACTGAAGTCATTCCTGCTGCCTCGCTCACTCATGGGTCCCATTTGCTCTGGAGTTTGTGATCCTTGGCAGGCAGAGTTCTGGCTCCCGTCCGGCCCGGCGATCGCTCCTCGGCTGAATGTCTCCTCTTCTGTGAAATGTGCACATGTGTGTTTTGGCATGGGTCTGGTTTGTTAAGTTTGTGTTTGCAACATGTTTGTTTTATTTCGGGGTGCTATGCCGAAGGAGCCAGGGCTTTAGGCTTTTGAAAACTCCAGTAAGCAGAGCTTACCCCTGAGATTCAGTCCCTCTCAGAAGGTTCCTACAGGCACAGGGCTGTCTTTGGAGCTCCCAGATTTAAATCAGCCAGTGAACCCTTTCACTTTTAAAAGCACATTTCTAGTCTTGAGATTATAAAAGTGAGCCAAGTGTGGGGAAGAGATCTTCATGGCTTCTTCCCAAATAGCCACTGGACTCTGTAAAAACACAACTTGTATGTTTTTACTCTTTTTGCTTCTGAGGGATTTTTTGCCGTGGAGGGTCAGGTGCCGAGTGAGCTGCTTGTAATAATATTTTATTTACGTTTCTTGTGGTTTTTCTGTGTGGTTGTCACGGTCCCTGTTTGCAGCCTGGAATTTTTCTTATCTTCCTGTTTTTGCCCCGAAGGAGCAATCAGATAGCATCATGCATTTCTGATTCCTCGCTGTGTAGGACCCTGTGCACGGGGCACAGGCCGCAGGCTGGGCCAGAGCAGTGGAAACTGTGCTTGATGGGAGAACAGACCGCAACTCCTGAGAGAATGTTCTGTCCGGTCCTCCTCTTGCAAATCTTCCCAACCTCATTAATTTTTTTCTTATTAATTTTTATTATAAATATTTTAATTGAGATGAGCTGCAGTGGAGAAATTGCTTCAAAGAAAAGTTCCCAGGGCATCCTAGGAGGACCAAGGAATCAACAGATTGTAGAGATACCTAGTAACAAAAAAAGGCAAAGAAGTAAAGGAACCTCATCCTTCCCTAATGGCTCCTGGTAGCTCCTTTCAGATAAGCTGCACAGGCCTGCGAGTGTGGGACAACTTTGCTTCTATGGACCCCACAGTCACCCTCCAATTGTTTTTTGAATGCAGCAGCTGATTCCCACGCTCAAGATATGGTGCCTTTGATCAGATTTGACTATCATTATCCATGTTTGGGGAAAAAAGATGCTGATGTTTTCTGACTTGAGGTTTAGTTCTTTGACTCAAATCCAGCACCGGGAAAGGGACCTGTTGCCCTGAGCGGAGCTGAGCTGGGTCATTTCTCATTCATCCCAGGAGCTGCAGCCACTTCATCTGCTCCCTTGAATGTTAAAACTTGGGTTGCGGCGGCCCCAGTCCTCGCTGGGAGCTTCTGCCATTAAAAATGTAATAGAATTGAAAGGAATGTGAAAACTTAAATCCCTACCCCAACTCTGAAAAATGTAAATATGAATTCCTCCCTTTGTACCTTCTCCTTGGTATGGCAGACTTTTTTTCTTTTCATTGCTTTTTCTTCTTCTTATTCTTTTTTTTTTTTGTTCTTGTAAGGACTCTGGAGAGTTATATGTTTTTAAAGAAGCAGGTTTGAAACTAGCTCTTTTTAGACAAGTGAAGGGAACTTTTCAGCAGAAAAAGACTATTTTTAATAGAGATGAGATTCCTTCTGACCTTGATATTTTAAAATTTTCAGGATTTCCTGATTAACTGCTAACTTGGGTAAGCTGAGGTAAGCACCAAGGACCTGTATTTCCCCAGAGCAAATGTCTTCAATGAGCTACCGGATCATTTTTCTCAAAGGCAGGAAGGGAGAACAGGAAAAGATGAAACAGAATGATTTCAACATAAAGGAAGCCAGCACAGCCTTAGCGGTAGGCTTGTTAGAAGCATGGTGCAAGCCGTGGTGGTGGGAATGTATGAGAAATACATTCCAGCAAATTCTAATCACGAATAGAGTCTGTATACACCCGTCTTCTTCTGAGGCAGTATATAAAGATTCCAATGGAATCATTTGTCTCTCTTTCCCAGGATTATAGTTTTGTTGTCTTGGAAGATCCAGAAAATGTAAAGCTCTTTATTTACCCTTGGAACTGGATTTTGGTTTCCCCTCCAGAACTATGCCTTGCCCACCCCTTTCCTCCTCTTTTTCCCTCTCCTCCTTCCTTTTCCTCTCTTTCTCCTTGTCCTTCTCCTCTTCCTTTTCCATCCCTTTTCCACATCTACCTCCTGCTCCTCCTCCTTATCCTCCTCCTGCTCCTCCTCCTCCTCATCCTCGTCCTCCTCCTCCTCTTCCTCCTCCTCCTCCTCTTCCTCCCTCTCCTGCTCCTCCTCCTCCTTTCTCTCCTGCTTCTGCCGGTGGCTATGCATGGGAATTGCACAGAGGGCAAAGGGAGGAAACATAGGGTGAAGATCATCTCTTGAGGACTTTTCTCTTGGTTTTTTTAAAAAGCTTTTGCCTGGTAAAGAGACATAGATTCTAAAGTAATTTTATTTGAGGAATTTAGGAGGTAAGGGTGCTTTTCTGGCTTGCCTTTGCCCTACCTTGTCCTATCTGACACACCTCATCTTGATTCAGCATGGATTGTTCTAGATTCATTCCTCTGTTACTATATCAGATTCATTGGTCCTGCGAGAGTGAGAGTGAAGAACCCTCTCACACATCAGCTAGAGACCATTAGACCTGGCTCATTGGGCAGAGAGGAGACTGGGAAATCTGATCTATTTTCAGAGATATCTGATAGACAGTAGGGGCACAGAGGCAGGTCGGGGCTACTCATGGTCTGATATACAGTGTGTTCCATTGTGATGCTATACTGTGGAGCTGTAGTTGAGTCATCTAGCTCGCTGGCCTCCTGAGACGATTTTTTATGCCTCTATATAATAGAAAAACCCAAGGCCAGAGAGTTGAAGATATTTGGCCAGGATCTGGGATTAAGACATGAACCAAGCCAGATTTTTACCTCAGTGGCCTGGCACAAACTATACTTCATAAGCACCTCACTGTCATGAAGAACAATGGCATGGAGCATGAGGACATGGTGTGCACGCCTTTAGGCTGCTTCCCTGAGCACACAGAATGAGAATAGTGGCCACCTCACTGGTTGGTGAGGGAGGTTGCTATCAGGTTTCTTGTTGAAGCACATTTCACACTGATCATATGGATTGCACTGAGGTAAATGAGATACAATGGAAATCCTCTCCAACAGGAACATGTGACATTTATCTAAACTGGAGACCATAGAAGATATCAGGAAGATGGTAAGCAAGCCTCATCAGGTCTGGTCATCCCAAGTTCAGAGAAACCATGGTGTTGGGGGGAGGTTGGAGAACTCTAAAAGGAGCTGAGAAAGAAGCTTCCAACCAATCCATTTGAGGCCATTGTTTCTTTTCCACCATTATCCTTGAGTATGCATGAAATCCTGGGCATTATGGTTGATTACAAATACTTGGAGTTTTCATTAACTGGTGGCCTTAGTCTCTCTCAGACATAAAATGCTGCCATATGTCATTGAAGTTTTCTCCAAGTTTGTTAGCAAAATCTC